AGAGGCATCACCGAAAGGCATGGAAAGACTTTCAAATATATCCTCCAGAAGACCATGGACACCTACAGCTGCAGCAACATGCAGGAATGGGAAGAAATGGTAGATCTCACAACCATGACCAAAAACCGAATGATGAACGTGGGAGGATACAGCCCATGTCAACGTGTCTTGGGATTCAACCCCTTCCTACCAGGAGGACTCTTAAATGGAGATGACGGACATCGACATCGAGAAGACGCTCCAGTGCCGAAGATCGGCGACCTCAGCATTGAAAGATCCATGAAGCTTCGGAAGGCTGCAGCTCAAGCTTTCATCGAAGCCGATGCAGACAACGCCTTGCGGAGAGCTATCTCATCAGGACCAAGACCGATCCTGGACTACGACATCGGTGAGATTGTCTACTTCTATCGAATGGGAGCAGATAAAAAGCTCAAGTTCAAACCAGGCTACTGGCAGGGACCAGCTCGCATCATCATGATCGACCAGCCCAGCACTATTTGGCTAGCGTACCAGTCAAACCTGGTCAAGGCGAGTCCGGAGCGCCTTCGGAGAGCATCATCTGAAGAGAACATGGCTCTTTCGGGATGGCTTGACGACATTGTCAATGTCAAAAAGGATCTCAACACTGAACCGGTTAGAGGCTTCCTAGATCTATCCGATCAGCCTCTACCTCCTGACCCAGCAGATGGGGATCTAGATGACATGGACTATGAGCCATCCGAACCTCCTGAAGATGAACCGAGTGCACCTCCGATAGCTCCAATCTTAGACGGGCTTCAAGAACCTCTGGGATACCCACCGCCAGCAAAAAGATACCGAACAAAGGCACCACAAGAGAACCTTCATCAACCACCAGAAGCAGAAGATCTACAAGAACCAGATCATGACGAACGACCCGCTGAAGAGGTACCAGAAGAACGACCAGAAGAACACCCCGACGTGGACGAGAACAACAAAAGAGAATATGATGAAGGAGAAGCCCAAGAACAACCGCCATTAAAAAGATTGAGACATGAATACCTGGAGATCTACCTGAACAAGGTTGACAACCTGATGAAAACAAGACAGAGAAAGGAAGTTCGCTTTCAGGAACTGAGCTTCAAGAACCAAAAATGTTTCAAGGCGGCAATCGGCAAAGAATTCAACAACAACATCAACATTGGCGCCTACTCCATTGTCTCCCCAGAAGAGTCAGCAAAGGTTCGACAAACCATGCCACACCGAATCATGGAAAGTCGATTGGTACTGACTCCAAAACCATTGGAACCTCACGAAGTAGAACCAGCCAAACAGGAAGGAATCCTCCTCGACTGGGATTCCGAAGAACCTTGCAAGGCCAAAGCCCGACATGTGATGAAAGGGTTTAGCGAAGAAGGCTCCGAGGACATCGAGGCAACGACACCTCAGGTTACCAGAGAAGGAACTCTCATGGTCGCCCAACTGGTGGCCAGTCATCGCTGGAAACTCGGCTTCTCGGACTTCACCCAAGCTTTCCATAGTGGAGATGCGATTGAACGACTACTTTATGCAACTCCACCTCGCGAAGGCATCCCTGGAGTTGCACCGTGCCAACTCCTGAAACTTGAAAAGGTTTGCTACGGCCTCACTGATGGCCCATTGGCATGGTACAATCACCTCAAGAAGTTCCTGACCAGCCAACTACAATACCAGCAGTCACTGGCAGACCCGTGCATCTACTACAAACATCGGGCCAGTCCCCTTACTGGTAAGCCGGTCCTCAGCGGCATCATTGCGGTCGCTACGGATGACCTTCTACATGGAGGCGACGAAGAACACCAAAAGGCTATGGACCAGATCAAGGCAAAGTACAAGCTTGGAAAATTCCAATATGGATCTGGAAAATTTACTGGAAAAATGTTCGTCCAACAAGAGGACTCGAGCATCACCGTGAACCAGGAGAACTACATCCAGGAGAAGCTCTTCGAGATCAACCTGGAAAAACAACGAAAGAAAAAGAGATACACCTTCTGTGACGACAAGGAAATCACGCAGCTCCGCGCCAGTGTTGGAGCCCTAGCCTGGCTCGCCAAAGAAAGCAGGCCAGACCTGGCCGGAAGAGTGGCTCTGCTCCAACAGGTCTTTCCAAAGCCTCGTATCAAAGACATCATCGAGGCCAACTCCATCACTCAGGAGGCTAGAAAACATCCCTCGAGCGGCATCAAGATTATGCCGATTCAGCCAGAGAACCTGCGAATAGGAGTTGCGACCGACGCTTCATGGTCCAACGCTAGAAGCCAAGACCAACTGGAAGCTAGTTCACAAGACTACTGGGAAGAGAAACCATCACACTGGATTCGACATCATGTCACTCCCAGGAGGGTCCTATTCCACCCCGGAGCCGATCCAGGACCAGATCTTCATGACCTACAACCAGGTCGCAGAACGATGACAGCGAATGAAGAAGTTCTAGAAGATGAATGGACAAAAGGAAATAGTGTCCGAACTTGGTCGGACTCCCCTTGGACTGGAAAAACCATCTTCACCAAACAGCTTCCAGGACATGAGTTGGAACATGGAAAGATCAACGACACCTTCCTCAAGCTCCTCAACTGTAGCAGCCAAGGAGGCTATGCGATGATCTTTTATGACAAGAGAATGGAAACCGAAGATCGACCTCACATGGTTTCCGTGACTTCATGGAAGTCAACAAAACTCAAACGAAAGACAGTCAACACCCTGAGCGCCGAATGCCAATCGCTAGTCCATGGCATTGGCCATATCCACTGGCACCGCTACCTCCTGCTCGAACTGATGGGCACGACCATGGAATCCAAGGATTGGGAGCGGCATCTGGCAGCCATCCCCTATGTCTCAGTAGTTGACTCTCGGTCGCTATACGACTGCATCAACAAGCTGGTGTGCACCTACTCTCAAGTAGAGGACAAGAGAACGGCTATAGACATAGCCATACTAAAGGACGATCTCTATAGATCAGGGGGTTCTTTACGCTGGGTTGCTGGTGATAACATGATCGCGGACCCCCTTACGAAAAAGATGATTTCAGATTTCCTTAGATGTGTTTGCAATACCGGTTACTGGTCACTCTCCGAGACAGGCCATAGAACCCAGTGCACCACGCATGACGTTCTCTTGGTCTCGCTTGGCCGTTAGAGTAGGGCCGGTGTGAAAATGCACTGGACGCCCACGCTCGACTCAAGGCAAGCACTTAGGAGCCAGAGACTCGATGGGGGCTTTGTGTCCACCGGAAAAAGAGTCTTGTTCTTGCTTGTTGGGTCTGTTGCGGTTCCCCCAATTTCATAGAGTCAAATAGAGTGAGTACCGATGTTTTCGGTCGTCCTTGGGTCATGATCTCAATGAAGCATACGAGCAGCGAGCCGTGGTCGAGCAGCGGCTCCCGTGGTCGATCTTTGAAACCGGCAGGGGAAAACGTCGTTTGGACGATATGACGTCGTTTGGTCTTGTGTAAAGTCTTTTGGATGCTGCGTTTCCAAGTGGGTTATATAGATGCAAGATGGCACTAAACTGATGTACTACCGTGATGTACTACTGTTTTCCAGCACACACTTCGTTCCAGGGTTTCCATGGTGACGCTTCGCAGTCCAGGAATTCCTGCTCTTCTTCAAAGCTGCGGTTCGGCCGGGTGAATTTCGACGAAAAACACATGCACGCTAGGCATCGAATTTGGCCGAATCCTAGATGTCCGTTCCGGAGCGCGTTCTTTTCGAAGAGAGTTAGAGACCCCATCACCTGGCGCCACGAGCGAAGCACTGACGTTCGCACGGGACAAATCTGAAGGGATGGAGCGTTCGACGAAGAAGAACACTGGTCTTTCCCCATGAACGATCATCAATATTTGTCACCAGTGGTTATTCTTCAAATCGCCCCCTTCCCATCACCTCCCATTTGCCCCAAGACATCACAAGACATCACAAAGAAAAACCTAATTATATAAGCCCCATACCTCCAACAAAAAAGAAAACACACATTGAACCCTTCAAAACACACCGCGCTGAGACACTTTCAGCTCAAACCCTATAGTTCCTTGAAACCAACTCCGGCCAGCGAATTGAACGCCGTTGACCTCGCCAGACGAAGTCTTCGAAGACCCTGTACGCCTCGTCGATCCAAGCGGAGCGCATCCGCCGGAGCACCGTCGTCGGCTTCGACGGCTCATCTCTTCCGTCGCATGCGGCGAGAGACGGACGAGGCGTCGGCGGCCGGAAGGGTCGGTGTCGTTGGTGTCGTTGGCATGTGTTTTACCGTTGGCAGTTGGCATGGAGAAAAAGTGCCTTGGTTGTACGTACATTTGATGATTTGTATCTTTTGATCATGACATTTGAATTGCCTCTAGAACAACATGTGACATGTAGCAACCAGTGAGTTGTTTGATGAGAACTTTTGATGTAGGCCATAATCCACCAGTGTCCTTACACGCCCAGCCTGATCCTCCAACAGGTTTTGGGACCCGATTCCAATGGAAGGGAGTCGGCCATCAAAGGAACTAGCCGTCAACAGAGGCAAAGGCTATGGGTTGCCATTGTTTGTACTATATCAAGAAATCCACCGCCGCCTGACTGCCAGGACCTCCGCCGCCGCCGTCAGGAGACCGCGCACGTGCACACACTGTTTGTATGTCGGCCCCCGCGACGGCACCAGCTGCCACGGCACCAGCCGCAGCGTCAACAGCCGCACCAGCCGCGGCTGGCTCTAGTTCTGGGACCAGCGAGTCCCGGTGAGCACCAGGCAGCGGGTTTTGTGAAAACTAAGTTTGAATCGACGTCAACACAACACGATTTCTCCCAGTCCCCTTCTAGAGGTTGACAGATAATGGCGTCTCTTTGTAGAACAATTGAAAATATCGTCAGACCCATTTTCAATATTCCTATCTCAATGACCAGAGGGGTATAGAGGGGGAAAAGAAACTCTTACTTGAATGTTTGAAAGCTCATTTAAGCTCATGAAGTCCCAGAGAAGTGGGTCCCTTTCCCTTCATTGTGTTTTTCTCTCTCGTTTTTGTCCTTTCCCTCTGATCTTTTCTGTATCCTTTTTTCTTTTCCTTTCATCTTCTTTCCTTTCCCTTTCCCATCCCTCTTCTCTCCCTTTCATAACGTTTTTCCTTTACCTTTCCTCTCCTTCTTCTTTCCCTTTCATCTTTCTTTTTCTCCTTCTCCTCTGCTAGTGATGTCCACAATACTGTCTACAATGATCCCCAAATAGATGAAGCAAGGAAAGCAACATCCATCCTACTACCCATCCTTTGCTGTAGCCCACCCTCCAAAATGGCCAGGTGAGACCCTTTAGAGGGGAACGCTTTTCTTTGGTCTACTTCACAGTGGGCACCTTCAGCAGTGCCAGCGCGGCGGTGCGTCGAGCCTTTGCTGCTGCCAGCGGCGAGAGCGACGTGCCGACAGCACAAAGCTTGCAGAAGGCAAAGGTAATGGCCAAGTGTTGAACAATGTGATGGGCAGTGATGTTGAAAAAAGGTATGCGATTTCGCACGCGATGGCCAGCAAGGTAGAATCAGAATTTTACAATGACACCATGTTGGACTCTCCAAGAGGAGGTTGGTGGAAGTTGTTGGACAGGTGAACAAAATGGGCAGATCGAATTGGGCTAGAAAGCACCAATCCGGGAGGGTCCGCTGGGTGGAGAATTCGAACCGCCTTGGCACGTTGATCCAAGTTGATCCAAGCCGATCATTTCCACAAGAATGTCCAGTGGAGCCCAAGGAATCGATACAATCGAGCTCGTTATGTTTCCCCTTCAAAGTTCTCTTAAAGATGCATGCTTCTTTGTCAAACAGATCGGACATTCGTTTTTTTGGGGGGCGAACTGGTCAGCGAGGTCGTTGGTGTTTGTTTGTTTTTTCTGGGGTCGCGAACAGGCGGATGGTGTGGTGGTTTGAAGAAACGGATCATGGGGTGACGCATCTCAGGCACATGAGTGGTCGCGACGTTCGCACTGGACCCGAATTCCCGGTATAGTAGACAGGTCGTAGACTGACCGCAGGCTGATTAGGTAGTTCCAGCTAAAATCATGCCTTGAAGAAAAGTATAGCGATTGGATTTGCTGCCAAGCTGAGTCCGGCCAAGATAGATCGAACCCTCAACTTCACCATTTGTGTGTGTGCAAAAGCCAAGGTTTGGCAACCTTGCGAGGAAAATAGGCAAGAATTCTCGGCAAATCCAAGCAGCAGCTTGTACAGTCTTTGCTGTGGCAGTTGTTCAAAAGAAGACTTGCGCGCCAGCGCGTGGTCTTGCGCTGGCGATTGACACATGTTGAAGGTGATGGGATGCCATGAGAAAATTAATCAGGTGTCGACTTCTTGACTTGATGTTGCCAACTGGTGACTGGTGTGTCGCTCCACAAACCTCCAGGATATGAGTTGAAGGACCAGGAGCCATTGTATGCCCTTTTTCCCGTTTCAGGGAGGTGGAATGCTGATGTCCCTCTCACCCAAGTCGTCTTTGTTAAAACTCTTCCAAGGGGAGGTTGGTCCTTAGAGGTTGGCAAGACAGAATATCTGTTTTCTCAGATGTGTTCGGGTTGGTCCTGTCTTCCGGAAATGTGTCCATTTCCCATGTCCACACCGAAAACCCTGGGATTATATACTGCAATCCTCTCCTCAATCCGTTCCTCATGGTCATACGGTCGCAAAGTCTAGAGGGGGCTGCTTTGGTGTACGTAGGGGCTGGGCCACGTAAAATAGTAAATGTATGTAGATGTTTGGGTCCACTCACCATTTCTTGATTTCTTCACCCTTTTTGCCCAGTCAAGGATCCCAGCTTGTCTCGCTGTTTGATGTTGTTTGGTTTGTTTCGTAGTCCCGCGGTCCAGTAGTCCGCCAAGGTTGCCAGGGTGTCATGATCCGTAGCCTATTCTTGACATCCTGATGGAGACCGTTTCGTCCATCAATTTTCCAGGAAGGAATATGAAGGAATCAGGGAAAGCACTGAGGGATCAAAACAAGCGGAAGAATTGCGGTTCTTGTTTGGTTGTACTTGAGGTCTTTTCTTCCTTGGCTACACCCTGAGGAGTGAAAGAACTGGTTCAGATTTGGATTCGACCCAGGCAAAGCGTCAAGAAGAAGCTCCCACTGCACACGCGTCAACCTCAGAGCATGAGGCGGCCGGTCGAAATAAATGCAAGCCAATGGAAGCCAAGCCCTATAGTTGAAAGAAATCCTATATACAGATAGGGCATGATAGGACATGATTTTCATGCTGCCCATGAATGCATCTTGCAAAGCGGGGATCCCAGATGAAGTAGTACCATGTCGTCTTGTCTTGCATCAGTACCGGCGTCGTACCTGTAGCACTCTCACACGCCCCAATACAAACGCCCCGGTTGGTCCGAAAGGACGCTCGTATCAACGAAGTCGCCTGATCTTCTTCTTTCGGAACCCGGTGGAAGACACCACGGGATGAAGTCGTGATGAAGTCGTGATGTCTTCTTCCACAAGAAGGAACCCTCGCCGAGACCCGAAACCGTGAAGAGGCGGCCGCACCACCCGCATTCTCACATTAGACGAAACGGTGTTCACACGAAGAAAACGGACGAAGAAACGCGAGGCGACGAGGACGCTTCACCTTTCGGCACCTCGAGGCTTCAATGTTTGATCGAATATCTCAATCCTCAATTGGAGGCCGACCCGCGCCGGGGGCACCGACCCGGACGACGAACGACTGGTCGTCCGGTGAAGAAGGTGCCTGGGGGGTGGAGATGTGAAGGTATCGACGTCTCGTTTTCTTCTCTTTTTGGGGCATGTAGACTGTAGACTCTTGATTAGATCCTGCCCCCCCTCCCTGTGTTGCAGTGTTGAACATGTTAAACTGCTGTTGCTGCTAAACTTCCCAGCAAAAGAGCAATCTCAAACTAAAATCGGGCCACTTCAACAAGATGTGGTCGTCCATTGTGATTTGAAGTTTGAAGATTGTACTCCCTGTCATCTCATCTCATCTCATCTCGCTTACTCCCATCATCTCTCTTTGAAGGCCCTCTCATCTCACTCACTCCCTGTCTTTCACCAACATGGTTTGTTTACACTGCATAGCCACCTTGAATGTTGCTGCTTCAAGGGTTCTAATGTTTTTTGTACGTAGCCTTGACAGCCCCATCAAGAGTCTCTTGATGAAAAAAACAAACACCCCATTAGGAAAAACTCTCGTGTGGTTTTATGATGCTTTATTCATCAACAGTCTACATGATCATGATCTTATGAGGTAGGGGTGTCCCCTGAAATCCAGACGCATCCCGGTATTGGTGACGAACGACCCCCCCCAATGGCCGGTGCAAGAGTCTCATCTTCAACGGCTTTTCTTGGGAGACAAGGCCCGGAGACCAACTGCACTTGACAGATCTTGACATGTGTCCTTCGTGTTTCTTCAAATGTCCTTTTAACAGATGTCTTCATCATTATTCAGTTATTCATGACTCGTTTCCAATGACTGTATGTTTAAGGGTGTAGAAATCAAAGTGTACGGCCCTTGCCTGAGTGGACTGCTGTGGGATTTGTTACGGCTCTTGAACAGCGCTGGAGGAGAAAGGTGTTGAAAGAAACCCGCAAACGAGTAGAGCGAGAAGAATCCTCCAGTACTAGACTTGAGATGCTTGACAGAAAGCATCATAAAGCTGGAAATCGTTGTGTTTTTAAAGCAACAATGTAACCATGTACAGCCTTGGGGGTCCAGGTGATGCGGTTCTTTGGCCTGAATTGGTGGGAAGCCAAGTAAAGTTGCTCTTGAGGTGGCGCCCATCATCCCCACATTGTTTGTCCTTATTTTATGTATCTCGAGAGCACCATCTGATCACCAGAATCGCTGGTCAGGTGATGTGTGTCGAGCAGGATGTGACGGATCAAGCGGAAGTCTTGAGGTGAGCGGACTGTTTGGTGATCTGTTTCTTTATCTCCACCAGGGCCTTTGATGTCCGGAAGTTCATTAGAATCCTAAACCCTTAACTGACAGTGGGTCAAAACCCGGGCACCCTGGTTGACCTCTGAAAATGAACAGATTGCACCCTGGTTGACCGCTGAACATGAACAGATTCCTCCATAACGGATGTCACCCAACCTCCCCATGCTTTTGGTGAGGTTGAGTTCCTCACAGCTATCAGCTATCTGAACTCACAAAATCCCTCATAAGTCTGGATCAACCCTTCCACCTGAACTGCGCTTCGAGCTCACCGGAACTTCTTCCGGAACAGCCGCGGTCGCGGAACGCGGTCCGCGTTCCGGCGGATCCGGTCAAAATCCGGTGGAAGGTCCCGTTCCGGAGCACATGTCAGTCGACGTTGTCCTGTTCCACTCGCATGTTTGAGGGAGGGCAAAGCTGCAGATAAGCACAGAGTTGGAAGATAAGCGCGGCACCAGGGAATCATACTGCATCATGTGTTCATGTGTCCTCTATCAGTCAGGGCTTTGCAGCATACCCAGGAACTGGGGTAGTCAAAACGATGAGGCCTGGATAGGCGTGGGTCAGAATCGGCCTGGTGGAAAGGTGGTTCGTTGAAAACGATCTCCCGTCATCACAATTCCAGGGTTTCAGGGACAAGCAAGCAAGCCAAGGGGAAGTGTGTGTTTTTGTGGGTGGTGAACACTCTGGATTGCAGCCATATATGGCTACTTTTTGCTCACTTCTGCACCGTTGCGGCTGCGTTGCCGTCTGAGAGGTTCTTGAAGTCCACCACACTCGTCGCAAGCTTAGCTGCACCGCTTCCCTCGCCGTCGTGCCAGATCCTGTTCAATCATGTTAAACCCGTTTCTGAAACGAGGGCGGCTATACAAGAACTAAGGGCAAACATTGAGATGCATAAGTGATTGTATACAGAGAAGAGCTAGATTTGTCTAGCAGCTATATACATTATTTGTTGGAGCCACGCTGTGAAAGAATGGAGCCAAGCAGGGAGATGAATCCAGAGGTCTTCAGACCCAAGCGGCCGTTCGCACTATGACGAGTCGGTGAGTTATATATATATATATGTATCTATGTACGTATATATTGATATAATGCATATATATACATGTTTTTTAATGGGTAAATCCGGGAGACCCCTTGGCCCTGGCTGGCTCGACAGATTTCTCTTCTGAACCACGGTTTCGTTTCTGGAGGTCTCCTTTTTTCAATACACCCCCATATCGAAAGGGTCTAAGAAATCACGCTTGTAGGCTATTAGATAGCCTATCTTAGCCTATCTAGGAGGTCTCCCCATCTATGATGTTGTGATGGAATCCAAGTCTATCTCCGGAGGCTTCACGGTCCACAGCTTTGGAGCCCAGGGATTCCCGGAGGCGTCGGACGTGCTTCCGACCAACGGAGGGTCGAGCGACAGTACCGAGGTGGGGATCCTTCCGGTGCCTCATCCCATCGTGATTCGCACCTACCAGGCGAGTGAGAGAGTTCACCTGGGTGGATGGAGGGTGGACGGATGGCGGAGGGGGGACGCGTCGCCGGACGGGGACGCTTTTCGCCCGTGAACGACGTGCCTCCCACGGGGTGTTGAAGGGTGGTGGGGCCGGTCGGGAGTTCGTTCAGTTTGAGGCACCTGTTACTAGTAACAAGAAGCTATTAGAAACAAGTGCCA